CGGGGGACGGGGCGCAGGGGAAGTGCGCTGGCCGGGACTCGCGCTGGTTGCGTGGCGGCGCGCGGCGGTGCCGGCGGAGAGGGACAGTGGCGGCTGGCCCGGGACTCGCCGTGTGCGGGGCGGCGCGCGTGGGCGGCCGGGCGCAGGAGGGACCAGTGGCGCTGGCCGGGACTCGCGTGTGGCGCGGCGGCGCGCGGGCGGCGGGGCGAAGGGACAGTGGCTGGCCCGGGACTCGCGTGCTGCGTGGTGGCCGCGCGGGGCGGCGGGCGCAGAGGGACAAGCGGTGGCCGCCGCGGCCGCGGCGCGGCGGCCCAGCGGCAGTCGCGTGGTGCGCGTGCGGGCGGCGGCCGGGCGGCGGGCTGCAGAGGACAGTGGCGCTGGCCCCGGGACTCGCGTGTGCGTGGTGGCGCGTGGGGCGGCGGGCGCAGAGGGACAGTGGCGCTGGCCCCGGGACTCGCGTGTGCGTGGTGCGGCGCGTGGGCGGCGGGCGCAGAGGGACAGTGGCGCTGGCCCCGGGACTCAGGCGTGGTCGCGTGGTGGCCGTGGGGCGGCGGCGCAGAGGGACAGTGGCGCTGGCCCCGGGACTCGCGTGTGCGCGTGTCGGCGCGGGGCGCGAGGGCCAGGAGGACAGTGGCGCTGGCCCGAGACTCGCGTGTGCGTGCGGCGCGCGGGGTGACGGCGCAGAGGGAAGTGGCGCTGGCCCGGGAACTCGCGTGGGTGCTGTGGCGCGGCGTGGGGCGGCGGGCGCAGAGGGACAGTGGCGCTGGCCCCGGGACTCGCGTGTGCGCGGCGGGCGCCTGCACTGCACCCTGCCGGTTCCGGGCCTCGCCCAACTCGTGCGCGCAAGTCGCAGATTCTGACCGCAGCTTTATGTTCTTTTTGCCTCATTTCTGACGGCTTCCCCCACGCTCCGTCCGTAATGACAATACTCGCAACAGTAATGTCAGGTACCGCGTTGTGTGCTTGGCTGTGGGGTCAGATAGGCACAGGCTCACATCCTATGTGGCCATTTATTGGTTAGATGAAGTCAAACTACACGACTTTGGCCTAAACCAGTGGCTCTCAGACTCGGCGATACCCTGGAATCACCTGGGAGTGTTTTATAAAGTCCAGTTCCCAGGCCACTCGCCTACTAATTACTTGAGAATCTCTGGGGTAGGGCCTAGACACCAGCATGTCAGCCGACCCCGATGTGCCAGTACCTGAGGGCTGGGGAGCTAACTCCCAGGCTAGCCCAGTGTGGTCCTCAGACCAGCAGCACTGGCATCATCTGGGAGCTTGGCAGAAATCCTGGAATTCAGGCCCACCGAAGCCCTACTGAATCAGTCCCTGGGAAATGCTGCTTGTCACCATGCGTTGGAGGAACACTGTCTGATTTGCTCCGGCTCCCTATCAATGCCGTGGGGGTAGTAATCGCACCCAAACTTACCTCTCCTGGAGCAAGCCCAGACTCACCTGCTCATAAGACTCACCTGGAACGTCTGATGAGGCTGTGGATGCATTAGGCCCTACCCAAATCTTACCGAACCTCAACGTCCAGGCTTTGGGAATTTGTGTTTGTACCATGTTCCCCCCTGTCCCCCAGGTGATTCTTACAATCGGGCAAGTTTGGGAAACCCTGAGTTATAATCCTCAATGCATTATTGTCAGGATTACATGAGAAAATAGAGGTCTTTCTTATTTTTGTCATTATTGCCATACAGCAAGTGTTTACCATTGTGTGACAGAACGCTAGCTGCTTGGTGCACACTCTGATCGAATGAGATAAATGTCATTGTCTCCATTTTGCAGAGAAAGACACAGAATTTCAGAGAAGGAAAGTCACTTTCTCTAGGTCACACAGCTGGGCCATAACTGAGCCAAGCTGACTCCAAAGCCCATGCTCGTACCACTCCCTGCTTCCACAGAAGTTTAATTCCTGCTTTTCTTTCCCTTGAGAATAAGGTTCACCTTTAAGACAGCCATTAAAATTCCATGTTCATTTACCAATTCACATACTCACCCTCTTGTTTTATTCCCCCAATATTTAGGGAGCACCTGCCTTGGGCCAGACCCTGCGCTAGGCAGCGAGGGTGCAGGTGGGCAAGCCACCCCGGCCCGCTGGGGCTCACAGGTCAGTGAGGGAGATGCACGATTTGCAGCAAGCTTACCAAGGCGAGTTAGTTACAGTTTGGACATGGGCTAGAAGGACAGCATTCTATAAAAGCACAAAATGAGGGCCCCACCCTCGTTTGGGGAGCCAGGCCATGCTTCTTTGAGGAAGTGTCTTTGATGGAAGAGTTGAAGGACAAGGAGGGGTGACCAGGTGAAGAGGGGAGGGAGGTGTGTACCAGGCAGCAGGACCCTTCTGCCAACAGACGTGGGACGTGCTCACAGCCTGACAGCTCAAGCCCCCAACTTCTAACCTAGTGTTTTGCTTACACAAATCTGGTCTTTACATGGTGCCAGAGTTAAGTTAAAAATACATAAATTCCAACTTCAGTCCAGTTAAAAATCCTTCTAAAGTCCTCTTTCTCTGGCTGGAGCAAGTCCAGGAACTTGGCTGGGAATTTCAGGCCCTTTTTTGTCTTACCACTTCCATCTCGGATGATATATATCCCATACTCTAGTCACAGCCAACTAGGTAGGCTTTTGGCAATACCTTCTTTCAATAAGTCCTTGTCCTGTCGTGAGCTGTTCATGTGGCGTCTGTCTGTATCCATCCATTTATTCATTTGGGGGAGGAGAGAGTTATTCTACTCATTATGCAACACAGAGCTCAAATGTTACTTCTTCCACCATTCGCCGGGTGGAGTTAGTTGACCCCTGATCTATGCCCCCGTAGTATCTTTTGTTTGTTTTTTTTTTTTTTTTCTGGTTTTACTTCAACATTTTATTGAACTTCTCATATTACATAATTTACCCAAAACATTTAAAGTACCAGTGAGACAAAAACAACTTAAAAAAAAGACATACAGACAAAATACCTCCAGGTGAGGTCATACTGTAATAAGATTCATTGTCAAATCACAAGTTTTGTTACTCTGCTATATAACTTGGTACCATATCAATGATATTAAGTGATTCAAAAGTTAAGACATTACACATTCAGTTTGTGTGTGTTGAGAGAAATCTCTTATGTACAATGGCTTGAAAAACAGAAATGCCAACATTAAGTATCATTCAAATTCTAGTGCAGCGTGAATTGTTATCAAGAGATTTTATCTGCTTATATAAGTTTTGAAGATAATTCAAACCTGGCTATCTTTTTAAGATCTGGCAAAGTAGTCCTTTGTATCCTAAAAGATCAGCAGGCAAACATCCTACATAATGTCAACTGATAAATATCCAAGCAGTTTTTTTTCCCATTTTCTGAACAGATATATGAATACTTGTACAAAAATACTGAGCCATTTGTGCCCAATCAATAAAATGAATGCTTTGTGCAGTTATAACAAAGCCCGTGCAAAAAGAACAGTTTTGAGTAGTCAGGTACAGCTGCAAAAGTGAGAAAGACCTCTTGCCTCTCCAGTTTTGTATGTTTCTAAAAGCACTGGCTATCAAGTACCCTAATCCATAATCATTTTCAAATTAGCTTGCTTTTACTACTTCATATTTATAACATCTAGTGCAGGGAGTTTGGAGGCTGAAATAACCTTATGATTCTAGGGATTTTGTTTTAAGGACCCATAGAATAAAATTGAGAAGGGCATCTCAGGGAAGTCTATATACACAAATTTAGTAAATCAATTCATACATTCACTTTACATAGTAGGTTAATATTTACCAGTTTTTTATTCAGTTGCTTTCAGTCTATGTGTCTCAAATTAAGAAACCATACAATGTAAGGTAAGCATTATCACAAGTTCCATGGCCAAAATCTGACTTACATAAAGACCAGTGGGCTGTGGACCACTTTAATAGAATCTTACTCACATTAGTATTAGTCATATTAAATTTTAAAAAATTTTATTCTAAGATATTATTAGGAAATACAGCTCATGGATATTTGATTTTGGAACCCATGTTAAAGAGAAGTAGCAATATTGAAAAGGAAAAGAGTCTGGTTATTTTATTTATTCTTTCTAAATTCAATGAAACATATTTGGCCCAGCTTAAATGTAAGTGCTTGACTTTTAAGGATTTTATATTTCAACTAAATTGGAATGGCAGTAAAATTAATTAGTATTTTACTTTCTACATATTAATTTTAGTTTTAACGTTAATTTCTCTTTATCCAAAAAAGACAGAAAATAAGACCAACCTTACATGTGTGGTTCATCCCATCAGTCTAATAATTATTCCATAATGTATGAAATTATATTTTCATACTAATTTCCAACAAAATAATAATGAAATATCTCATCTTTAGCTAAATAAAGGATCTCACAGATTTTCACTAGTAAATACTTCATTCCACTCAGATTCTGTTCCAGAAATTTTGTGAAACTAAATTTTCTGGTTTACTTGAAACTACTTTGATTATAATAAAAATGGAAGGTTTTTAGGAAGTTGAACATATTATGAACATCTAAAAAGTTATTTGGCAGTTCAAAAGCAATGAAAACAATTTAAATGCCATAGGTTGGACAAAGTAATCCATGATCTAAAAGATTAATGATAACATACAAAATGTGATCAAAGCTGTCTAATTTTATTTTGCCCCTCTTGGTGGAATTTAAAGATGGAAAACTTAGGTGTTTCAGTAATTAAAACATACACACACAAGACAGTAGAGAAAGCCACTACTTATATATTATTTTAAACTTTTTAGATGTCTTTTTCTTCGGCTCCAATACTATTAAAAAGCAACCATTCTGTGACATTTAGCAAGTAAAATGCATTTCAGTTTGTACGCATTCTCAGTTGGACAACGTCAGTGCAGAGTCACTGTGCTTCAGAGAACTAAACATTCACAGTAAAACTGTGATCATCCATGTGAAGAAATGAAACTTTAAAATGTTTAACGATCGAGCAAACACATCATTTTACTATACAAAGAATTTAACCCAATAAATTAAATTTAGGGACAGAATTTTTTTTATTAAACTGATTAATAATTTTTTTTTGCTTATCTATTGAAATGTACTTTTCCCCCTCCTCCATAAAACACATGGATAAGTTTCCTTTAAGGTATGTATTTTTTCTTCAGTATTCATCCAAACACGTTTAAATAAAAGGTGATAAGAAAAACTTGCTTTTCCCTTTATGTATATCTAGTTTGGAAAACAAAACCTTAAGTAAAATCTGAAAGAAAAAAAAAATTGAAGCCATTATTTAATGATGACTATATAGTAGGTAAGAGGCACAAATTCCCAGGTGAATTTTAATTTTGTTTCCTCTAAGACAAGCCATTCAGAAATGAAAGGCAAATGAGGTTCCTTTAAGTACACAATTTGTAAATGTGGAAACAGTAATAGTTGTCATGATTATTTTATATTCTCTCTTAAGATTGGCTCTAAAAGTAGCCTGACGATTCATACAACTAGCTAAACAAACCAAACTTTATAAACATGGCGAATTTTTAAGTTTCTGGCACTGAAATCCTGGGTTTGGATATGGACAAGTATGCTATATTTGACTTAACATCATTTGGGTACCTTGGCTTTTTATGCTGTATTCTGATGTTCAAGCAGAAAATACATGACTTAATTTTATGCAATAAGCTGACCTAAGTATAGAAAACTTACAGAGATGAAGGAAATTCGAAGTCACATATGTGTACACAAATGGCTTTGTAAAATACATATATACAGCCATTAAAATTGTCATATAGGGACAATGCAATTTAAAATCCTTCATCTCCTACATACAGATTGCCAAATATAATCCTCTTAGTCCTTTTCAATGATGATATAATTTATTTGCTTAAAAGTAAAATATCCAGATTATATTAAGGATAATATACTAACATCAATCTGGAAGGTAAAATAAACACGTAACAAATATTCCAATAGGTTCAGCTCTATGAAATTTTGTTTTATATTTGATAAAGTTTTACTTCTGCCCACGATCATTTTTACTTCAGCATGAGTATTTCGCTAACTAGAATTTAATTTGTTTAAGTGTTACTTTTATTGAGTTTCCAAATTTGGAAGCACTGTGATCCAAATATATACCTATTCCTTATAAAAAATGAAGAGTCAAGATAATCAGCATGGGCACAGGCTTTTTTTTAAAAGCAATTTCACTTTCCAATCCATTTTCCCCCCAGTATTTCACTTTTATCCCTCATAATTTCATAGTAAAGTATCCAGATTATTTCTTCTGGACTAACCAGTGATGGAACCTAAATCTCAAACGCTATTTTGAAGAAGTGTAGAGTAAATAATTTTGGTAATCTGTAAAACGGCTGCATGCAGTGTGTACTGTATTATAACAGCACCAAACCCTTTATAAAATCCAAGCACTCCTTCCTCCTGCTTTATGGTATTGATACAGTCTCTCATTCCCTGATACTGTGTATTAATTGGAAGCACTTCATAGCCAAGGTCTGTGTTGTCAATTATTGCGCGTGTTCCTTGAATGTGAAGGCGGTGCAAAACTGTTTCCAATGGGTAAAGTATAACATCAGAACAAAGACTGGCTGCAAAGTTAGCAATAAGTTCTGGAAAATAAGCATCCAGCATATTCTGTACAGGGCTAGTGCTCTCAGCTAGGTGGCTATTACAAGTCTTTCTCTTTAGAACGAGTAGGAAAAACTTCTGAATAACTGAACTAATGATGTAATGAAGAACTCCATGAAGCACCATAGGGAAGATCAAGGAAAGAAGAGGAAGAAGTCGTTTGCTATGAGGCACTCCCATGCCCATCACTCTTCCAATTCCTTCTTTAACACATTCCAAAATGCCAGCATTATCTCACTCTGTACTGTTTCAATTAGACCTGCTGAATAAAATGGCATTGCCACTATGTAAGTTAGAGATTTCAGTAGAAGGTGTTCTCCTATTTGTTTAGGATTCCATTTGTGTGAAATCTCTCTTGGCAAAGGTGTGAATTCACTAATTATGCCTTCTGCTCCAAGTGTGACACCCTGGACAATAAATGTACTTCCCATTCCTTTCCATAGGGCTCTTGGTCCCTGAGTTTTGTTGAAGCTGTACATGATATTGATGACTGTAAATGGAGTGAGATGACAATGCCGAGCATGGTAATTGACCTGACATTGGCGGCGTAGAACAATGCAAGGATGGGCCAGTACATTTTCTGTGCAGAGACTTGCAAGTCCAATACCAAATCCAGCAAATCTATCCAACTGTTCACTGCTCTGCCCTGCACGCTGCCGCCGCCGAGCCGGGGCAAGGTTCCTCTGGGGGCCTGCGTACGGGTGGAGCGGAGGGCACTCCGTGGGCCCGGCTCCTCTCGCCCCTGCAGGTCGCGGCTGCGGGGATGTCTGGGGGAGTCGTCACCCAGTGGCCCAGGTCCGACCCGGAGCTGAAGGACCTTGCAGGGAAGGCGCCGCCAAAACCCTGCTCGTCCCGGGCACCACCGCGGTAGCCCAAGCCATCCAATCCGTCGGGGCGCGCGGATGCCCGCAGCCAGGCCAGGGTGACGCGAGCCCACCCGGAGCCACCCACACCCGGCCACGGCGACCGAAGGCCACACAGCTTCCCCTCCCCCGTAGTAGCTTATGTTCACTTTATTACAGCCTGGGCTGACCACGGACACGTCGGCATGGGGCAGGGTTTTTATCTAGGATAGACCAGATCATGCTAAGGTATTATTAAATTAGCCCTGAAACTCAGTGGTTGAACACAACAAAAACATTTCTTTTTTATAAGACAACTAACTATATTAGATAAAATTAATATATCATAAAATTCACCCATTTAAGCTGTACAGTTAAACGGCTGTTAGTATGTTCACAGAATTGTGCGACCATCTTCATTATCTAATTTTAGGCCATCATCACTCCAAAACAAAACCCTATACTTGCTAGCAGTCACTCCTGAGGACCTCTCCCAGCCCGGCCCTGGGCAGTCATTACTCTGCTTTCTGTCTCTGTCTTTGCCCACTCTGCACATTTCATAGACATGGAGCCATAGCCTGTGTGGCCCTCTGTGTCTGGCCTCCTTCACTTCGCACAGCGTTTCGAGGCTCCCCATGTTGTAGCAGATGTTAGTAGTCTTTCCTTCTTATTGCTGAATAATATTCCATGGTGGTCTATGGACAGACTGCATTTTGTTTACTTATCAGTCGACGGACATTTATGTGGTTTTGCTTTGGGGCTGTTATGAAAGCTTTAATTCTTGAGTTGCCATAGCCAACTAAGAGCCCACCCACGGCCGGGGCAGCCGCGCCCGTGCGGACACCCAGCCCCTGGCTGCCTGTCTCGCGCTCCACCGTGTGACACCACACCTCATCCGCCACAGGCCGCGAGAGAAGTGACAGGTACCGGCTTCTGCTCTTGGATGCTCAGACCTGGAAGTGGAACATGTCACCTCTGCTTACCACCTGCCGGCCAGAGCTGGTCACACAGCCCTGCGTGGGTGCGAGAGGGCTGGGTGGCGTGGCCGCCCGTGTGCTCAGAGACGACAGGAGGACCGGCGATTGGTGAGCACAAGTAATTATCCCAGGCGGGCTAATAATTTGGCATGCCTTCAAACCATCATTCTTCAAATATTTGTTGAAAGGGTATTTGAAGAAGAGGCTGAATGTGGTCGGGTATTAAGAATGAAAACAAACAGGACTCTTGGCAGTGTCAGTCTCTCTGTTGTGCAAACAAAACAGCTCTATGTTCAAATTTACATCTCTATTCAGCAAAGGGAAAGGCCTCCAGTTAATCTGAACCCTCTCCCCTAAAAGATGAGTTTTAGGGGCCCATAAATCTCGGACCATGCTTCCTGGATGTCTTATCATCTACCTAAGTGGTTCCTCAAAGAATTCTTCCCAACCATGTATAGTACTCTCCTCAGAAGGAATTCCAAGGATGATATAGTAGAGGCAGCTAGCTGCCTATCCAGCGTTTATTCACCTTTTCTTTCTTTCTTTCTTTTTTAAATTTTTTATTTTTCAGAGATGGGGTCTCATTATGTTTCCTAGGCTGGACTTGAACTCCTGGGCTCAAGTGATCCTCCTGCCTTGGCCTCCTGAGTAGCTGGGAGTACAGGCACATGCCACAGCACCAGTCTTTCCTTTTCTTGTTTCTGAAGGTAGTATAGCAGCAAGAGCTGGCGGCTTACCCAGTAACCATCCTCCTTCTTTTTCCTTAATAACAAGATTCTGGTTTTAGTTGGGAATAGCAATGTGCCCACACAAAAACGTTATTTCTCAGTCTTCTCTGAAGATGACAGTACTTGAGCGGGGCTTCCAGGAAAATTATTTTTATTTGCTTATTTTGATTAAACAACAGAAAATTATTTTTTCTTAATTCTGGAGGCTAAAAGTTTGAGATCGAGGTTTTGGCAGGGTCAATTTCTTGTCTTTGGGTTACGGATGGCCATCCTTTCCCTGGATCTTCACAGGGTCTTTCTTCTCTCCAGGAAGCTCTTTAAATGTCATTGTGCAGAGTCGCCTCTTGTAATCTTGCCTCTTCCTGGTAGTCAGAATGTGGATGAAGATACCATGGGCAGTGGGTGGTAGAATCAGGAATCAGACTGGGGTGTAACTGGGGGGAAAGCGGGAGCTGTTTCCCACTGAGTGGCACTTGGTTGGGGTGGCAGGAAGGAAGGGCCGGGCAGAGAATACGAGGATGGAGGGTGGAGGGGAGAGGAGAGGGAGGCAGGAAGGACTTAGAGAGGCACCACGGACAGTCAGTACAATCTGACTCAGTGTCGCTTGAAATGTGGGAACTGGGCCTTTTGTGCTTGTGCTTAACTAACTTTTAGTAGCCTCTCCATCAACATAACTCTGAAGTTTCATTTATCCGTCTCCTAATATTTATTTAACAGAAAATTTGTTATAGTGCAAAAATCAGGGGACTTGGAGTCTGGATGCCTGTATTCTTTGTTTAGTGTTGTCAATAATTTGCCATGTGTCCTTGGAAAAGTCATTTGACTTCTGAGCTTTACCTTCTCCCAATACTAGGGTGAGATTATATATAGGGCAAGGAGCTGGGACAATCCAACGAGGCAGTGTATTTGGTTTCTAAGTTTTATTTATTTGTGTTTAATTAAATATAGCACTTAGAATACTTGTCAATAGTGGGGAAATTAGAAGATGCAGAGAAACAAGAAGAAAAATTGCAAATATCCCTTGTGGTAGGCTATTTGGCTGGCTAACCCAATGCCAGCCTGCCCCCTGGTTTTCCCAGCCTCCCTTGCAGCTGGGGTGGCCATGTGACCCAGTTCTGGCCAATGAGATAAAAACATAAGGCTTTTGCCTTTCTGGCTGAAAGGAACAGAAGTAACAGAACATAACATGTGCAGTTGCACACGTGCCAGCTTGAGACCACAGGGAAAGGCAAGGAAACAAGGAAACTGCGCAGATCCTGCCCCTGACAGTCTTGTGCTGCCGAGCCAAGACCAGCAGCCGCCTACCTCCAGACTTATTTTTCAAGAAGAATAAATCCTTGCTATTTTTAGCCACTGCTAGTTGGGTTCTCTGTAACTTCTACCATAACTATTATGTTAATATACTCCTATCTTCCAGAGATCATAACTGCTAACACCTCAGCATGTAACTTTTCAGATCTTTTCCAATGCACACAAAGCAGGAAAACATTTTGAATTATTAAGGGGTTGTTTCCTCTTAAAACATGACCTTGTCTCTTTTGTGTTTTATACCTACAATTCAGGCCTTTTACAGGTACTACCCATGAGGGACAATAAATAGTCTACAAAAACAAAAGATCAAATTCCTGACTACTCATAAAATGACTTGAAAATGTATAGCAGGAACAAAAGTTTGATAGTCAAAGCTTTTTTTTTGAGACAAAGTCTCTCTCTGTCGCCCTGGGTAGAGTGCAGTGGTGTCATCATGGTTCACTGTAACCTCACACTCCTAGGCTCAAGTGATCCTCTTGCCTCAGCCTCCTGAGTAGTTGGGACTACAGGCACATGCCACCATGCCTGGCAATTTTTCTATTTTTAGTAGAGACGATGTCTCACTCTTGCTCAGGCTGGTTTCGAACTCCTAAGCTCAAACAATCCTCCTGCCTCAGTCTCCCAGTGTGCTGAGATTACAGGCATGAGCCACCGCACCTGGCCTTAAAGTACTTTTTATTCACAAGAGCCAGGATTTTGTGACAGGACAAACAATGTTTTATCTCCAGATTTGCAGCAGCCTGACTTTGTACATAAAACAGTAAACTTGGAAGACTCAGAGCACATGATTTGTAAGATAAACTCCAGAAAGAAGAAGAGTGCAGGTCCAAAAAGAGATTAGAGTTGGAATATCTGGAGAGGAAATGCAAATTAGAGGGATGAGACCAGAGCTGACGCACCACCTAGGTTCCGAGACGGGCCCAGGGCTCTGCCCCACACCCGAGACTGGGAGTGGACACCCTGAATAGCTGTCGTGAGAACACGCACGTGAAGCCACTTGAGCCTCTCTTCCCAGGATGCAAGTTCATTAAAGTCACTCCATGTCAAACCTGATACCCTGAGGGCAAAGCAGTCATTGTTTGGACAAGGCTGAGGGCATCCTTTCCCATGTGGGAAACTAAAAATTTCCCATGGACCTCTGTGCTGAATATCAAACAGGCTGAGAAGAAATCAAGGTAAACCGAGGTAAAAAGGTAAACCCGGAGTGCAAGGACATTTCTGTTGGCAGACAGGCGGGCCACAGGCATTAGCAGCAGGTATCAGAGCTTGATGATGGGGACCAGAGAAGGTGAACCACAGACTCCAGGGAAGAACAGAGGTACCTGGGACCAGGTGCTGCTCCTCAGGATCTCGGAACAATGCATCTGTCCACTGAAGAACTAAACCTCCCCTAGAGAGCAGAGGAGCAGAAAATGATCTTGAACTGATCACTTTAAATCAGGAAGTCTCTAAGTTACTTTGTTTTTTGGGGGTTTTCTTTGAGACAGAGTCTCACTTTGTTTCCCAGGCTAGAGTGAGTACCGTGGCGTCAGCCTAGCTCACAGCAACCTCAAACTCCTGGGCTCAAGCGATCCTCCTGCCTCAGCCTCCCGAGGAGCTGGGACTATAGGCATGTGCCACCATGCCCCGCTAATTTTTTCTATATATATTACCTAGCCAATTAATTTATTTCTATTTATAGTAGAGACGGGGTCTCGCTCTTGCTCAGGCCGGTTTCGAACTCCTGACCTCGAGCAATCCGCCCGCCTCGGCCTCCCAGAGTGCTAGGATTACAGGCATGAGCCACCGCGCCTGGCCAGTCTAAGTTACTTTGAATCGCAAGATTATGTTTTCTTCACGCTGTTGCAGTTAACTGGAAAAAAAAGAATAAGTTTTCTATAATCAAGAATGCCATACGATAGCCTAATATAAGTTCAGTTTAAATAAATAAAGCTATTTTTTAATACCCAAGTTTGCATTCTGTAAATTTTAGCCCACTACCATACATACCTTACATTTATAACATATATGCAATTTTTTCCAATATGAAAGAATATTGTACATACTGTTTTGTAAATTTCTGTCTGTTCATAAAATATTATGAACATCTTTCTATGTCTGCAAATATTAATTTGTTGTATATTGAGAATTCCTTATTCAAAATGCTTGGGACGAGAAGTGTTTCAGATTTTAGATTTTTCAAATTTTGGAATATTTGCATTATACTTGCCAGTTGAGCATCTCAAATCCAAAAATCAGAAATTCAAAATGCTCCAGTGAGCATTTCCTTTGAGTGTCATATGGGTGTTTAAAAAGTTTTGGATTTTGGAGCATTTCAGATTTTAGATTTTTGGATTTTGGATGTTCAACCTGTAGTGATTTTTAAACTTTTTGGGAAAACTTTGAGAATCTGATAAGAATTATGTACTCAGAAAAAGGCACATATACAAGCATACAAAAATGTCTATAGGTAATTTAAGGGCATTTTCTTAAGAGTACAAGGTTAAGAATCACTTGACTTCAATACAGTTTCCAATATAACTGAATAGTATACAGTGTATGGCCACCCCACAATTTATTTAATCCACCTTCTATTGTTGGACATTTAGACTGTTAGTTTTTCTCTTTTATAGATGATTTCTATGGCAAATTCCTGGAACTAGAATTGCTAATTATATTAGGACTGTTTCCACTGTAGATAACAGGATGCCCAAATAACAGTGGTTTATATTTCTCACATAATGAAAGATTCAGAAGAAGCAGCCTAGTACAGACTCAATAATACTATCAAGGACTCATACTTTTGGTGTCTTTCTGCTCTGTCTGCTGTGCTTAGCTTTTTGTCTTGTCACCTCATGGTTACAAAATGGCTGCTGCAACACCAGGTATCACATCCTTATTTAAGGCAGGATGAAAGGGGAAAAGTCAGTACTTTTTTTTTCAAGAAAGCAGACTTTTGCTTAAGTCCCAATTGCCAGAACTAGATCACCTGTCTGTAGGTTTCTAAGGGAGGCTGAAAAAGTAAATATTCAATTTCTCTAGGCTATTTTAGTAGAGGCAGTTAAGGGAGAAGAGTGTTGGTGGTGGGTTT